TATAGCTAAATCAGTAATAGTATTGAGAATTTTCATATTTAATGAATTTAAATTTCGAATTGTGGCGTTAATCATGAGTCAGTGAAGCTGCTAAGCTTTCAAAACCAGAGCTAGATTAATGAGGTTCTTGCGCCCGCAGCCGTACGAAATTTGTTTGCGTAATTTAGTAAAAGTATTAAGTTATTAATACCGTCATTTACAAACAAACGCCTTGACGTACCGCAGGCAACGTTCTTAATCCATTTAATAAATATAAATAACGTTTCAAATGGAAAGCAGAACCGTTAATCGTCTTTTTTGGTATCTATTAGAAACTCGTATTTGTTATAAAGAAACGTGTGGGAGTTGATCACAAAGAAAGAAAAAAGTTTGATGGCGTGACATCGGTATTAAAGAGCTATTTTGGTGTTGTTACAAAAGGTTTAATCGGGTCTGTATTTGGAGTAAATCCTTGGGACGTGTCACGGAAATTGTAACTTCCCATTCGGTCAGAATTACTAAAATCGTTTCCATCGAAATATTCGGGATACACAAGAACAGCTGTACCCTAAACTGCGCCCCCGGATTTAGCTGGGTCCTCACGAAACGATCGAAATCGATAAAACTGCCACGAAATTGACATTAATTATCCGTTCCGTTTATTTTCCCTTCTCGCCGTCGCGGCCACAACGCAAGCGGAAAACGGAATTAAAAACATTTCAACGACAAGTCCCAAGCGGTAAATCTATTAGGTCGCTTTTTATTTATATATTTTCCTCCGCGCCGTTTTTCTACCCGGCTCTTTTCAACCAGAAAGGTACACAATTAGGACCGCGGACTGAATTCTTTCGAACGCCCACCGAAATGGGTCGTTCGTTAGATTTATTCCTGTTGATTTCGGGGTCATTAGACGTCGACAAATTGAGACAAATTTTACGTCGGTGTAAGGTACCGGCTATGCTTACGTACCACAGGCGAATTTCCATAATAAAATGTGCACGAGTTTGTTGTAATATACGAGTGCGTCAAGAAGGGCGAGCTAGCATCCTTTTGTGCGAATTCCTTTCGTACTATTTGACGGTTTTTCGATTTTCACACTATTTGCAAACGAGGAAATGACGTCGTCTTTTTCCTTTTTATACTTTATAGAGTTGTATTCAAATACGTACGAATATACTTTACATCTCATAATTGGATACTTACAATGTTTATTTTAAATTAAATTAAAGGTCTCTTTTTAATGAGGATAAGAACACTTTTTTATAACTTAAAAATATATGCGAGGTGTTAAAATATATGATAAAATGAATACATTATTTTGGATCTACAAAATTAGACTTTCTAGAATCCTTCGGGTTAAGCCTTTATTTCTTACTACACCTCTGGATTAATTAATTTGCATATATCTGCCAATATATTTCAGCAAACCTCAGTGTTCTTTACAGCAACTACGAGATATCTTCTGAAAATGTTGAATTTTCTAATATAAATCTTATAACATATCTGCTATCATACAAAAGAAAAAGAAGAACTAATGTTACTGAAATAGTTATGACGTAATAATGCGTTCATGACTTGGCAAAAAGGACATTCATAAAATCAAATTGAGTTCAAAAGTAGCTCCACTTTGTGATGGAGCTTTACTATTTGACGATTAGACATAAAACAACTGTGCCTTTCATTTTTAACCAAATATTTTCTTCCCAGCTCATTGGCTATGAATTAATACATCACGGGTGGTTGGAACCAAAATAGTGGCGGTATCGAAGACCTAAAACTGGTATAACTGCCAAACCCCAAAGCATAATTTGTTAGTTCTTACTCAAAAAACAATTTGTTGGGTTGGGTTGGGTACAAACTGCCCAATCTGCTGAAAATAAAACTTTCTCAGGAGTTATTACAAGTAATACTAGAATATTCCCGGGTTAAGCTGAGCCTTTATTAAAATAATCTTTAAATTGTTACTGCATCTCTGAACTTCTTAATTTGCATATAGGGGTTGTCTTCGGGGTCGTGGTATTTTTCAATTTCTACATTATTCCACCATATGACTCTTTTGGTAGTCGATGTCCCTCTCGTAGATGTGGTTACAAAATGTGTACTCTTACTCAAAAATCAAATTGGTTAGGTTGAGTTGAGTTCGGTTAACTTGGGTTGGCCTTTCATTTTTAACCAAATATTTTCTTCCCAGCTCATTGGCTATGAATTAATACATCACGGGTGGTTGGAACCAAAATAGTGGCGGTATCGAAGACCTAAAACTGGTATAACTGCCAAACCCCAAAGCATAATTTGTTAGTTCTTACTCAAAAAACAATTTGTTGGGTTGGGTTGGGTACAAACTGTCCAATCTGCTGAAAATAAAATTTTCTCAGGAGTTATTACAAGTAATACTAGAATATTCCCGGGTTAAGCTGAGCCTTTATTAAAATAATCTTTAAATTGTTACTGCATCTCTGAACTTCTTAATTTGCATATATTTGCCAATATCTCTCATGAGCTCTTTGTTCTCCAAATTGAGTTTGACCTGTAACTAAAAATACCAAAAATAAGACATTGTTATTGTTAAAAGAAAACTTGAGAGGGTAAAAACTCGCGAAAAATATTTTCCTTAGAGCCAGGTGCAACCACGAGAAATCTTCTGAAAATGTGGAATTCTTCTAATATGAATCTTATAACATCTCTGCTATAATACAAAAGAAAAAGAAGACTAGTCAATGTTGCTGAAATAGTTATGACGTAATAATGCGTTGGCAAAAAGGATATTCATAAAATCAAATTGAGTTAACCTCTTTGTAGCTTTGAGCTGCTAGGTTAAACTGGGTAAAAGTAGCTCCACTTTGTGATGGAGTTTTACTACATATTTATCGATTAGACATAAAAAAACTGTGCCTATCATTTTTAACCAAATATTTTCTTCTTAGCTTATTGGCTATGAATTAATACATCACTTGTGGTTGGAACGAAAATAGTGGTGGTATCGAAGACCTAAAATTGGTGCAATTGCCAGACTCCTGAGCATGATTTGTTAGTCTGTTTGTACTCTTACTCAAAAAACAAGTTGTTGGGTTGGATTGGGTTCGGTTAAGTTGGGTTGGGTGCAATCTGCTCTTATATATTTTGTTGCGACAAAGTTAAAGTAGATTAAATCGAAGCGTTTGTCGAGTTAATTGCGTTTCATTTGATCGTGACTATACATATAGTCTAGGTAACAACATCCCACATCGTTTAATCCCGTTACTTACTAAACCGATTTTAATCCATTGATGATCACCAGGATATTTACCTCTGGATTACTTAACTGGATGATATCTACTTTTAATTGTTTGAAGTTGTCCACAAACTTTATCCTTAACTATGTGTTTCCACCCAGTGCAGAAATTGCCACCTTTATCTCCTTGATCGTCATCATACACTCAAAATTAGAAATATTCTTAACTCTAAGGAGGTAACTTTTGGCCTGATTGATTCTTCCTATTTTAGATATTTCGGTTAATCGTTTCGGTGGTCTCCGGGTTCTTGGTATTTTTCATTTTCTACATTATTCCAGCATATGACTCTTTTGGTAGTCGATGTCCCTCTAGTAGATGTGATTACAAAATTTACTCAAAAAACAATTTGTTGGGTTGGGTTGAATTCGGTTAACTTGGGTTGGCTGCGATCTGCTCGTATATGTTTCGTTTCGAGAAAGTTAAAGTAGATTTAATTAAAGAGTCGGTCGAGTTGTTTGCGTTTAAAATATAGTCTAGGTAACAGCATACCATGTTGCTTAATCGTGTTATTTACTAAATCAATAAATAATATACAATAATCTAGTGTTGAATAATAATTAAAACCAGAGCTAACACCAGAGTTCTAGTTTTAGTTTTACACTAGTACTGTTACTATGTAGAACTAACACTATACCTAAAACTAGAATCATTTGGGTTTAGCCGCACGTCTCTAAAGACGGCTAAACCCGAATGCTTCTAGTTCTAGGTATAGTGTTGGTTCTAGTTTTACACTTGCACTGTCACTAAAACTAACATTAGCCGTTTTAAGAGACGTGCGGCTAAACCCGAAACTTTCTAGTTCTAGGTCTAGTGTTAGTTTTAGTTTTACATCAACATTGTAACTGTGTAAAGTAAGGCTAAACCCGAATGTTTCGAAAATATACAATAATATAGTGGTAATGTTTTTCTATACTCCAGCATATGACTCCTTTAGTAGTAGAAGTCCCTTTAGTAGATGTGATTACAATATATGGGTTTAATTTTCCCTTTCCATCTTCGGACACATAAAGTTCACTTGAAGACCCCTTTTTAAGTCATCCTTTTCTTGCCACCTCTATCCGTACGCTGCGGAATAGCTTAGATTCCAGTATCACAGTTATTATAATTAACACTTGAAGCTACGAAGACATAGGGAAATTGATAATTATTTCAAAGGGTTGAGACTTGTAATATGTTAATCATTACTCACAATTTTGGAACATCAACTTTGAATATTGCCTTTTAAATATTAACTTTGAATATTCCATACAAGCGTTTATTACACAACCATTCTATTTCTGATTATGTGTGCATAATAAAACAAGCTCCCATCACTTAACACATAACCATAAAACATTTTTGAAGGGTACCGACGCGTAACGTTTACCAATAGTGAACTAAGATACGTTGCAAACTAACCGCAAGCGCAAACTTTCTACCGGGCATAGCATCATTTACGATTTATCAATATTTGAACAAATTGTGTTCAATATTTGAAGTAAACGCAATTTTTTTTGATGTTAACTAAACAAGATGTTTATTTGAATTCGAATGAAAACATAATTTGTGTTATAATCTCGTAAATAGTGTAACTTTATAACGTATTTTCAAAAAAAGCTGTTTGGGGTTCGTCAATTTTTGGTTTGGTCGATATCGAGTGGTTCAGGCGTCCCTGGCGATTACTCATCCGCGGTGCCGCGCGCCTTCGACGCCACCACTGCCGACGCCGGTTGTAGTTTCGCATCCCTACGACGAAAACGCCGTCGCCGTAGCGTCTCCAGAGGGCTTCGGCTCGCGCGCTGCTCGTCACTCGTCTCGACGCTCTTGAATCGCGCGCACCTACCGGTTTCGTTCGTAACTATCTCTCGCACATTTCAGCGCGTTTTCCTAAAACATTTCAGGAATAATTCAAACATTGTTGTGGCGTTAAAGATATTAAAAGAAAATCAAAAAAATTAAAATAACCAAATTTCAGTTTTAAAGTGATTTGTGTTCTTTTTTTTTTTTAAATTTACTGAAAGTTTCTTTTTGGATTTAGAAATTTTGAATGGTACGAGTCCACGTGGATTAAACTGTCAGAGTTGATGAGAAGGGTAAGTTTAATTTAAAATGTACTTATCTTATCAATGTTACTCATAAACATGACAAAACATACAAAGAAACAATAACCACAAATTGATAAATTATGATATAAATACTGTTATCAACTTTCTTTTGCGACATAAAATACAAAATTCGAATGGGTTAAATTATTTGATATTGTTGAACTTTAATACATAAATATTTTATGATAAAAAGCTATACATAGATTTATTTTGCAATTTACGTCAATAATGTTATTTCAAAATTTGTATCAACAACACTGCGTCGTTTTATAAATTACGAGAAGATAAATTTTATTATATGGTGGTACTAAAACGCGTTGTGTAGTTATATTAAGTTGCAAAAGTCGTATGATAGAAGTGAGATGGAGATATTAAGAAATACTATAGACATTTTCTCAACGAGTCTCTCAAAGTTTTGATGGTAAACTTCGGCAGTCCCCAATTGCTAAGATACACGAACTTAATCAAACACGGTTTTCGAAGGCGACCGAAAGGGGCTCATTCCGAAGCTGCGATTCGCTGCCCTGAAAACTTTCAATTGGGTTCATTTGCATCCGACCCTTTTGCTGTAAATAAATCGTCGTAGAATAGAAATGGAAACTAATTAACGTAAACGATTAAAAAGTGTATAAATATATAGTTCTGATTATTTTAATACACAAAATAATGATCTCGTATTACCAAAGGAAAACATTATTTAAATAACTCCTATTTATTTAATTCTATATCTTATTTGCGAAATGTAATGGGAGATTCAGTTAGATTATCATTTACTTTATTATATTAGTTTACAGTTAAAGTTTGAACTGGTTGTAATATTTCAAACAGGATTATGTTTTAGCATTTGCCTATTTTACAATTACCGTAGGCTTAATAACTTTTTATTGGGTCTAAAACAAGTTTTTGCGTAGGAATAGGGGTTTGGCTTGAAAGTTACTACATTTTTTTAACAATTTTTAAATTATTTATTAGTTTTGAGTTTTCGTAAACGTAATAAAAAATATATTTCGATTTTAATCTCTTTTAATTATTAAAATAATATTGTACAAATTTGTTTTATAACAATCCAATTTTCGTTGCGAAAGAGCGAAACGTATTTTACAATTGAATCGTCTGACTGAAATTGTTTTACAAATAAAGCTGCAATCAATGTAAATTTTATAATACTTTATTTTATTTCATATTGTATAGTTTTTAAAAGTAATCTGAATTTCTGTCGATAGAAATGGCTTATGCTAAGTATAGGCGTGCAAATAATGCAGATTTGAAGCATGACTTGTCATTAAAACGCGAATTTTAGATACATTTTGACATTAAAGTAACGCTATAGAATGTTTTTGAAGATATTTATTTTAAATAAAATCTTATGCTTAATTTGTTTCCAATACTGGATTTGCAATCAATTTGACTCTTTGAAAAATGGTTTGAAATTATCACTTAGTTGATGCAACAGATGTTACAGGTTGCGGAATAATCATATCTTGAATTGTTGTTTTTGCAAAAAAATTTTTAGAACGGTTGATATTACAACAAATACTTTTTGATGTAGAATACTTCGTAGAATTCAAAAATGTGTTCAAGATTATAATTCAGTTGGTGTAGCAGATGCTACAGGTTGCATAATGATGATATCTTCAATAATTGCGTTTCGATATATCTTTAAAATGAGAAAGAATCTTTTTTTGTCGTACTAAAATCTGCCATGGTAACTAAACTGGTGGATTCCAATGCTGTATTATTTTTCCCAATCAGCTTTGAAAGTCTTAAATCGCCATGCATCAGATGGCTGCGTAATGAGAGTTGGATTTGGGGCGATACCAACCCAACCCGACGTATATCTTTATAAAAGGTTTAGGAATCACATTTCTTTATGAAGTAATTTATTTCTGTACTGTTTATATTGTTTCTTCTGTAATTACTATGCGGGATTTCGACAAAACTTAGAGTCTTAGGGCTCTTATACAAAATGTCTTAATTTGGATATTAAAAATGCGATAACGACATTTAAAAATTCAGTGTCTTAAACAGCCAAAATGGTGGTATAACATGAGAGACAATTACTTAATGAATGATATTAATTCAATGAAACTAACTCCATCAGGGTAATAAATCAAAATGCATGTTTTTTTAGAACTTTTCTAAATACATTATGTCCTTTGTAAATGTATCAACACTCTAAACCCTCCAAAAGGTGCAGAAGCAATGGGCTCAGCTTGTTTACTCGGAGAAGGAAACTACAATTGAGAGCACCCTCTATTGAAAGCAGAAGTATTAACCTCAAAACAGAAGTTCCTAGGGGTGGAACTGGAACTCCCACATAGTCATGGTGAGGAAAAAAGCCATTATGGCCAACCAGATCTGTCGCAGGCTCCTTGGAAGGAACTGGGGTCTTCAACCATGAATGGCTCATTGGGTTTACGTAGCAATAATCAGACCCATGGTCGCCTATGCCTCACTGGTTTGGTGCCCAAAAACAAATCATGAGACAGCACAACAACACCATTCGTTTAACCTTTATTGATTAACGAAAAGTCTATGATGCTTCATGTCCAAAAATAGTTTTCTTATGTCTATGCAGTTATCATCTTGAAACACCATCTATATTCCGAGGCTGATTACAAAATTTTTTTGCTGGTTTATGTTCTTCCAAATAATGAGGAGTAGGCCCAATGCTTCAACTCTCAACCTTGATGATCAGGTAGTCTTTGATTAAGGTTTCCTTTTTCATGGCTTCGATTCTTTTTCAATTTCCAATCTGACTTGTTATTTGAATTAAAATATTTTATAGTCATTATTCCCAAAATAAGTTGCTGGTGGATTTGGATTTGAAAATAATTTGATTCTCCATCACTTTAACATTGACCTATGAAACCAGGTCTTTACTGCATCCAAAAACTCATTAAGGGGCGTATACAACACCAATGGATAAACATCGGGAATGATGAAACTATACTGAGCGAAATGTCTTCATAACTGAGTTAATGTCTCTCTTAAAAATTATCTGTTAAAAGTCTGTATTTAAAGAGTGAAAAAGATTGTTTTAAAAAACAAAAACAACATAACAAACCTTGTTATGGACACTAATTACATTTTAATTATACCATAGTAAACCCTTCATTCAGTAATAATTACATGTTAAACCTTACACAGTCTAATAAAGTAGAGCGTTTATTGATCTTTCAATAATACCCGCTAACACGGCAATAAAAAATTAACTTTCACGGATAATAAACTCAATTATTTTAATTGTTAATCAATCTAATATCGGATATATTATAGTTAACAAGAGGATTTGTGAAAATTAATTTTATTAATTTCTTTAATGAAAGAAATTGTTGTTTATAATTAATAAAACTTTTCAGTTAAGATTTTCAAATTTAAATTTTCTCAATTAAATACTCATCAAAGTACCTAACTCAACTACGAACTAATAAGAAACTAACAATTTCCACCAAAATAGAATTTGAGTGGCGTTAATAGAAATTTCGAACCGGATTACTACAAGTCAATTTTCGCGTTGTCAAGAAACTTAGAAGGTAACTCCTTAATTGTTGTGTCTCGCGTTATTTTCGTAGCAATTAAGAATTGAATTAATTAATAGCGCCCGAACGACGACGACGGCGACGACGACGACGACATCGATGGAGTTGTGGACTGTTTTCCCCAAGGCTTTTATAAGGAATTAACGCTTTCTTATCAAGATTATCGTTTTGCAATTAAAAGTTTTGTGCTTTTGTCGGTCGTCCGTTTGTTTTTGGTATCCTTCCGACGTAATCATTCGTTGCAGTGTTTACTTACCTTTTAAATAAAACCAGAACGAGATGGGAAAAAGTTTGTTATTGTTTTTTATTTACAGGAACGTGGTATTGTTTAACTTTGATAGTATTGGAATCAATCCGAATACAAAACCCAACCAATGGAATAAAATAGCGATGCGTGTTGTTTTTTTTTAATTTTTATTTTCAATTCAATTTTTTTTATTTATTTACTTATTGTTGAGGTGATTGTTTTTATAAATTTGCAATAAAAAAATGTGCTGAGTTATTAAAAAAATGCGATTGAAATATATTTCAAGCAATTTCTTCTATTAATTTTTTCGTTTCAAAAACTCTAGTTTATTGTTATACCCAATTCCCATTTTTTATAGGAAAAAATTTGTGTTCGCCGCTACAAATACAGCTAAAACACACACCTGAATCGTCAATTAACGATGAAACATGTCGCCGATGTAATTGATAGCCCGAAAATGAACACAACACACAGCAGGGTATTCCTGTCAAAAAAAAAATGGGAAAAAATGATGGTTAAATTCCAAAACGCGATTTTTAAAATCGCCATTCTCGTTGTATAACACACGCGTGTGTGTGGGTGTGTTTCGATTTTTTTATTTTACTGCATTCTGTGTAATTCAATTCCAATTGTATGTAGGAACGGTTCGACAGTGTCCGCGTCAATTAATCTACACGTGGTCGTTTTGGAATGCCCATTTTTTGTTTAATTTATTCTCTTCCGAAACACCGTCGGATGCAAATGAATTCAATCGAAACTTTCAGTTCTGAAATGAATTACCGGGAGGTAAAATTAAATCGTAACGAAAACTGAGATGAGATAAGTTTTGACACGAACCGAACAATTTATATTTTAATTATATATACGAGATGTATTTAGAATGATTCATTAAAAATATCCTCACCTTTAGCATAATATTTTTCATCCCTGTTATCCTTGTTTGTCAAGCCTTATGTTTCGACTCTATTCTGTAGATGAGGAGAACCTCTAGTCAAGACAGAATATTCTATTCAATTTCCTCTCATCCAATTTTTCCACATGTTCCTTCTACTTTTTCTTTCTTACTTTTGCTCATTTTACTACATCCTGTATGTTACTTCTTTCTCTGACAGAGGTGTTATATTTCCATAGAAACCATGTTGCTTGTTCTCGGTCTAATGTTAGTTCTAGTGACACTGGTAGGTAGCTCTAGTTAACAT